TTTGCGTGAGTGTAACCAAAAGCCCAACAACCCTCACTGGGCAGGATCGGGTCGACGTTGCATTGTGGACTATAGTTCAAAATTATATTCATTATGTATTTGTTAATAAATTGAAGTCACATAATATGTTAACGGTAGGTACATACTTGCAATTAACTTATTATGTGTATATAGTTATATAGTTAACATATTATGTTTTTTTTTTTTTTTAATATTACAGACAACTTTTAGACCAAAATTCATAATGGAAAATGAATCCTGGTCTATGGTATAACAATTGTCCTCACCACATAGGTAAGCGTAAAGATTGATCTATAACTAGTGAAAATAACTTTATTTACGTAAAAATTTACAACCACTATTAAAAGTTGTATTTTAAGTGAAGCATCCTTTATAACTATAGCTAACAAATGACTACAATGAGGTAAACTAACATAAATTGCTCATAACTAATAAACTAGCTCATCAAACTGAAAAGACCAATAAACAATTCTCACGAGGAGTCAGACATATAATCTTTTGATTATTATATTTTAGTTAATCTTTGGTCATGTTCGAGTATATCTTGTAGGTGATGTTAAGTGAGATTGTAACGAGTACAACTGTACAAGTAATATTTATCGACTTTTAAAACATTTTCAAATAGTTATAAATGTATTGGAGAATTACTAAACTAATGGGCGCTTGATTCGTTTCCATTTCCAAATTTCTCCTAGTCACAAATTAAAGTATTTCACTCGTAGGGAATAAAAACACTAGTTTCTTATTTGTATTTTAGCTTTTTATATTTAATAAAATTTATAATATATGACACGTAAAATTTATCCGTCACCAATTAACAAATATATTAAAAATAAAAATATACATAATTTGAATCCAATCTGCAGGCCGGTCTAAGTAACCAAACAAAGTAAAATAAAACTACACGGTTTTGTTTATTTGGAGCATTATTATACAACATACATTATTATTATACATATATACCTACCTTATAACGGTGGCCGGACGACAAGAATGTCGTGGCCGGAGTACATGCACATGGAACTACACACATTAGCGTACGCAGTAATCGGCAAACAGCCTATGCTTACACACACATATTTCATATGAAGAACACTACATATATATAGTACATACACACACACACATATATATATATATAGCTCAAACACTATATATATATCTGCGACACAAGCTAAACGCAGCTAGCTAGCTAGGGTTAACGTACACAGAACGCTCAAACTGATCCTTGTACTATATATTATATATATGTGTCATATATGTATAGTATGTATGTATATCCCATGCATGCATTTTTGTCTGTGTGAAAACGATATGATGAAGTGAGATCAGTTGGGGATGAGCTTGAATGGAGGCTTCACAAATGTTGGAGATGGATCGTACTTTCCATAGTCCTTTGTATTAGCCCTAAGAACCCTTTCATGGATCACGTTCACCTCTTCCTGCACATCATATCAAATATACCCAGTTTTGGATTATATATAGTATGATGTATATATATAAATATTTGTTTGCAGTCACTATTTAAAGGTGGGCACCCAGTAAATTATATGTTTTGTGACCAGTAAACTAGGTAAACCAGTTTTAGTTGTTCATAGTTGACTGTCTCAAATTAAGGAGGTCGATTAATTGAGAGTAGATCAGAACTTGGAACCTTAGGGTTACTGAGCCAAGAAATGATCAATTTGACTGGGATTACCCGTGATGTATATATATTGAGTTTGATATATATAAACATATGTATGTACACAAACACACAAATTGAACCTCATAAGTTGCACTCATGTCTTGCTTCTCAAGGTGGTTGTTGGCAAGCATTGCTTGGCGACCTGGAAATAATAATCAAGATTTAATGTTAATCCTACGTAGTTAATGTGTGTATATATGTACTAAGATTTGTGTTTCCACAAAAGAAACAACATATTCATACTACCTGCAAATGAAGCTGGCAAAAGTGATAAGAGAATGAAGAAGAAGACCAGACCAATAATCTTCTTATACACCATTTTTCACTTCACTCAACAAAGTTATGCTTTTTCCACTTCTCTCTCTCTCTCTCTCTCTCTTTAATTTTCTCTCTCTGTGGCAGCTTTATTTCTTGCTTCTCACAAATGGGGGAGAGGGGCAGTTTATTTAAATTTTGCTTGGAGTGTACAGTAGCATGCTTGGAGATCAGATAATTTATTTAATTAAAAGAATTGGTGTCTTTTAATTAAAATAATTCAATTTTCATGCTTTTTATTATTTTTTAATTATTATGGAAATGAAAAGGTGACAAGCACCACTTTTCTTTTTGTTGTGGCACTAAGTCTAAGAAGTTAGTGGATTGATACACTAGTTGTTTATGTACTCTGCATAAAGCATGGACCCATAGAATATGCATCATTATTTTGGCTTTTTGCAGTAATAATTACCAATATTTTTACCATACTATAAAACGTAACACATACATTTTCATAGTTCAAAAATAGTTACAAACATTTAGCTTTGACACATCATTTAAAATTAATGATATATATAATGCATTAATTAAATTTTTATCATACCGTTACTTAGTATCTCGTTATTGAGGCAACTCCAATCGAATTGGTCGGAAAACTAACTTGGCAACCACAAGGTTTCAATTTTAACTTATTGTAAGAGTTGTCTACTAATCCTTTAACAATTATGATCATATATAATGTGAGTTCACTCATAGCACATCTTTAATTAACGGTTGCATGATTTCTAGTAAATCAAAGTTAGTGTCTCATACAATTTTTATATACTATTTTAACATGATATTATCAATATATATTGTGTCAAAAAGATATGCTAGACATAGATATATATTTTTTGGTTAGGCGATGAGGTGTCCTGAGCATATCCTAACTGTAGGAGGCACCTTTAAACCCGTACCATACTCATACTAATCCTCATTTGCACCGTGCCGGCCCAATTAAAAGACAAAATGCTGGCTAAATTGGTTTCAATTTTGGAAGAAATTGGTTTTTTCAAGTATTATTGACTGAAGTGTTGTTCAACAGTATAGAAATATCTAATTATTTATATGTAAATTATTTGAAAATAACGTAACTAAGATCAAAAGTAAGGTTGAAAACAATCCTCTTTTTTTCAAAATTTATAAAATTTTAAATATGAAAGTGGATCCATTGTACTTTTGTGCTGAAGAAATTTTGCCATAGTTGACAATATTTTAAGATTTTCTTTTTTAAAGGTAAAATAATACTACAAAAGAAGTACTGCTTTAATTATATATATTCAATCCTTCGGTGTATGATGTCTCTAAATTATACACTAGTTAACTTTTTTTTTTTTAAATGAAATTATTTTACTTTTGAACGAAAACAAACACCAATAATTAAACCCATAAGATCTCTCACCACAATAAAATTTTCAAATCCTCATAATAGTTTTAATTTATAAGTTCACTTTTACAACAATCACACATAAAAAATAAACCTCTTTAATTTATAATTTTCTAATATAAAAATTATACTTCACCCACTTGGTTATTCTTTCGAAGCCATAATGCTCAAGCTTGATCATTTATTCTGATAAGCCTATATATACGAGTATACGACTATAGGTACTAGCTGACTAATCAGCTCATTCTTGATATGATCTGAGCCGAGCTTCTATTGGCCTTGCATGTTTTCAAACAATTGATTCATCATCATAACGAGCACTCTCTCTCTCTCTCTCTCTATATATATATATATATATATATATATATATATATATATATATATTCTATCTACTACTAGTACTTGCTGTTGAAGTTTGACGATATAATAGGATCATGATATATATTCCCCACAAAAAGACATTTATTTGGGATTTACAAGCACCTTCCATATTTGCATATAGGTTTGCTAGCTCTATCCAAGCGTGGCTCAATAAGGATTGGTTCAATGATTAGAGCTATGATGGCAACTTATCTCATTAGAGATCAGAATTCTACAACGAGATATAATAATTACCATAAAAAAATAAAAATATAAAGGGTAAAAAAATAATAATGAATAAGAACATTACAAAATATTTCTTTATCCATGTTGATTATGTTGAATCAACAGTTCAACCACATCATTACACCATTGCAGAATTACACCAGATGCACTGCCCCTTAGATCTGGACCGTCCAATCTGACATTTCAAAGTCATAGGAATTCACAGGTTCACACTGGAATAGTGGTTCTCACTTGAACCGGATTCTTATGGAATATTTCCTTTATCTATGTTCGTTACATTGAATTAATAGTTCAAACATTGAATTATATATAACATACATCGTGTTATATAGGAAATTAGGTACGTAGGGGAAAAATAGTTTTAAAGAAGTTTAGTGGTTTCAATTATCCATAACGACAAAGACTACACACCAAATGCCACAATGGGAGGATGTTGTTGGAGGATGAAAAGCAGCACTAACACTTGGTTCTTTATATTAATTAAATAATTAAATAATTAATTAAATGGATTATTGGTCATATAATATGACGAGACTTTCCATAAAGTGGTTTTAGGGCATATCTTGCATTGATCAGACGTCAACTCCATCTCCTAATTGATTAGACTTGGTAAACATCTTTGTTAAATAACAATCACTGGAAGTGATAACGGTACACTTGCGTCGTTCGTGGGAACAGAAGCCTATACCACGTTGACACAAACAAATACTACCTAACAATTCATCCAAATCGTTCCTTCAGTGGGTCGGTTATTATTTTTTTTTTAACGGATAATATGTAAAGAGATATAATGACAATCGTGTTTAGATAATAATGGGTAATCTTATTTTAGTAAATTATTATCTAATATGTAATTATTAGTGTTGACTCGAGTAAAAAAGCTTGAATTGATTGAACTTATTATGTGTATATATGTATTGAATGAGACTTGATTGAGATATTACTCAGTATGGTAGAACACTCTAATATACATTCATACTCAATTTAAATATGTTTGAGCGAGACTTTATCAAAATTTAATTGGACACTGTAATATACATTCATACAAAATTTAAGAATGTGAAACAAATGATTAAGCAAACAAAACTGCATACAACTGAAGATGTCTGCCTTGCCGTAGAATTATCATATATATGAAGCACTTAAGGTGATACCAACCATTTTTATCTCTACAGTAGCAAAGCAGAAACCAAACATCAACTGGCTCATCAAGAAAAAATTATCTTTGGTTCGAGGATGCACCCCTATCAACGGTGATCAAGGCTTCATGGCGCAAGCTACTATCTCTGCTGTAAATTCCCTTTGCACCCTGACGATGAACGTACAGTGCAAAAAAGAATCCATGTTATATATAGGGGCAGTGCAGTAAAAATCATTAGCAAAACGAGGTTGCATATATGCATTTTTTTGGGTGACAAGGAAAACCCGCAGTCACTACCTGATGGTGTGCACTAGGTAATTCTAACCGACAAAGGGTCCCGGAAAACCAGTCTAGATTGTCTATAGCTGACTGGCTCAAACCAATAACGCCAATAGGCCTTGTGGTTACGAAGTTATGGGGTTGCCCCATGTTTGATCAGATGTCTATATTTAGTATTCATAGGAACAGGTACAGTTTAAGTTCTTAGTAGCAACACGAAAGAAAAATACCTACTTGAAAGATTGCTCCCAGCTTTCTCATTCCTCTAGCCCGCTGCCTGATAACATCCTTGGAAACTGTGGAGTCTCTAAGGACCTGTCAAAAAAAAGCACACACATTTTTCTTAAATGCATCAAATAAGCTCAGTTTTTTCTTAAATGCATCAAATAAGCTCAGTTTTGAATGTTGAAAGTGATGATGTTACTGAAAGGTTGGTCTAGTAATAGGAGTTGTCTACACAAATTAACATAAGGAGAAAGCAATGGATCTGAAATATAGATTGAAACCATGCTTAAAGATTGATACTTACTGCTTGACAAACACGAGATAATGTTGTCTCAATATCAACAACATTAATCTGCCATAAGGAGTTAAGCATAACATCTCTCTTTTCCTTCAGAGCTTTGAGCATAGCTTCTTGGGCATTCTCTCCTTCACATGACTTCTTTATATCCTCTTGTATTTGAAGCAAATTCACGGCGCCTATATATTACAAGATAGAAAATCATATTAGGGTGAACTGAAGAAGGTTTAAGGAAATTTCATTATATCCAAGTTCTATTATTGTCACCTGAAGCAGCCATAACTTGTGACTTAACACGGTGTCCTTTATCTCGAACCCACTCTGCTAAAAATGGCACCTTCATGTAGCGCTTATCCTTCCCAAGTTCTCTGGCAGCTTGCCTAGTGTAAATGTAACCAATGGTATGTAGCATAGCCTCACCAAAAGCTGAAAACAGAAAAATGCAAGTTATCCACAATTTCTTCTTAGTTCTTCAGGGAAATGACAAGTGAAGGTTACACAGAACTCTTTTCCACGAAAGAAGAAGAAGAAGAAGAGTGAATGTTACATAAAACTCTTTTCTCACTTAAGCTAATACACTTTAACTTATTGCACTGTCATATTTTAATATAGTTCAGACAACAGGCAAAAAAATTTCTCAAGGATTATTTATTATTGTTGTTTAGCTTTTAGCTTGCAAAAATCAGTACTGGTTAAAAGCATAGAAGCCTCTATATCTTACCAGCTAGAGATAGACGACTTGCTTCTGATGTTGCCCAATCCACAAACTCTTCTATATGGCCTTCAACAAATGGGTGAAGACGATCTATTAGAATCTTCACAAGCTTGTCTTCCCTTTCCTTCTGCAATGCCTGTATAGAAGAGTCAAAATGTTCTAAATAAATTGTCCAGAGTGAGATTGACTGGCCTTTCATGAATTAAAGTCTTAACAAGCATGCCTTCATCTTTTCTGCAACTTTCTTATTTCGGGTTTCAGGATCAGTAGAGTCCTGTTCAGCTTCAACAACTGACAAAGAAGCCAATAAAAGTTGCCCCACATAGTCTTCAAAGAAATCACTTCCAAATAGCATTCCAAAAACAGCTGCAGGGTCTAGCATTGCTTCCCTAAGAATAATGAAATCAGAGTAAGTGAAAATCAATCCTTTCACTTAAAATGGGCTCAGTGAAAAAGAATGTAAATATGTTCTATTGCTGTACAAGTAAATTTTCTTTAATTCAATTCCTCTATCACCCAGAAGCCATGCATGCAAGTGATGCAAGATCTTAAGTTACTCCATTCAAGACCCACCCCATCTATGGGATACTGGATCTGCTTATTGCAACCACTGATTTGCCTCTCAATTTGTATTGCAAAAATAGCACTTAGTAGCCTAGTTTTGTATGTAGGGATTGCGTGCCAATAGATGGTGTTATAAGGCATTAAAAAAAAAAAAAAAACTATGGATTTTTAGAAAATGTTCAAAAGCAAGTAATGCAACTGTTTGCAATTTAATATTTGCACTTACTCCTGCACTCCATCTTTCCCATTTTTGTCATATGCTTCACGCTTCTCAGGATCACTCAGGACCTGATAAGCCTCTCCAAGCTCCTTAAATCACAAAAAGAATTAGAGAAAAAAAGCACCAAAGCAAATTATATTCTAAAGGAGTTATCTTGTAACAAATAAATACTCAAGTATTTATCAAGTACTTGCTCTCTCCCTCTCTCGCTCTCTCTCACACACACACATTTGGACTAGGAAACTAACAATGTTCGTCGCATGGAAGAGATAACCTCCAGTCCTTTACAAACTCAAAGCATTCAAATGATTTGGAAACCAGATTGAAAGTACTAACCAGAAGAAGAAGAAGAAGAAGAAGAAGAAGAAGAAGAAGAAGATATGCTGACAGATTAATCAAAACGACCAAAATACCTGGAAATTGTTAGCAGCTTTTGGATCCCCAGGATTTTTGTCTGGGTGTACTGCCCTTGCCTGGCAGAAGAATAACACTTTCTTTATATGCTAGTAATTCACAAATGTTTATCAAGAAGAAAACTTAATGGAAATTAAGAATGTGGAGAAAAACACATACACAAAACTCATGTTCAATAAATGCCATAAACGAATAAACCAACCCATGTTCTTACCTTGACATAGTATGCTTTCTTAATTTCAGCAGCACTGGCATCCACGTTAACCCCTAAGATGTCATAGTACTCTGTTTCCTTCACCATAGCTTCCCCAGTGGGAGTTATACAAACTATCTATCCAACTTTCCAATCTCACAATCACTCTACTGTTAGAAGGAAAATTGTGAGCAAAACCCGCAATTACTATTTCACTAACATAGCATCAACATCAACAATACAATAAATCCAGAAAAATAAATAAATATAAAAAAGAGCCCCCTGATCTAGAAACGACACAATTAAACTATTCCATAAAACTGTGATTAAGAGTGGACCACCACCAGATCACAGGATTTGAAGAATCAAAGTGGTAAATAAACTTCTGCACAGTCCAACAAAGAACATTTAAATATTCTATGAGATCATAGAAACAATCTAAGTGTATAACAAAGGGAACTAATAAAGAACATTATATGAGATCATAGAAACAATCTAAGTGTATAACAAAGGGAACCACAACCCGAACTATGAAAAATCACAAAATTTCCAGAAAAATCAGGCATTTATCTAGAAAAACATAATCCTCCGACAGCGCAAGATCACATTTAAATCTCAATATATGAATTTGATGCCGAAAAAATGCAAAAACACTAACTGTAGGAAGAAATAGGCATCATAAATATGGCATTAACGACAACCGAATAAGGGAAACGTTGAAATGATTACCTCAATGTTTTCGCGAACGATTTGAAGAAATCGATGTTTCCGGTGGTGCGATTATAGTGCTGCCATTTATATGAACTTTTGCGATTTCTTTTTCATTTGATATTGTTTGCTTAACCGCGTGAGTGTAAAGGAATAGCGAGAAACAAAAATTGAGGGAATCAACAGAAAAGGGCGCGGAATACTGAACACGTGGGGTCTGGGTTTGGGTGGGGCCGAGGTGTACGCGCCTCCGCGAGGAAATGAAACCCACTGTGTCCAACGGCTCACACGTGTGAAGAATCCTGTGGGCAGCTCTCTTAGGCCCATCTCTGCAGAGCCCCTATCGGCCCATCATTGCAACAAAATTCCAGGCCCAGCCCAAAAAAATTCAAACTTTTTTTTTTTGGAAAAACAAAAGCTCAAACTTCAAAAAATTCAATATTGAGTTTGTCGAATGTAGGCAAATTTTACTTGTGGACCATGGTCCATTCTGTGTAGACCATAATCTAAACGATGTCATTTCTATTTACTATATACTATGGAGCAGGCATTCAAAAAAAAAAAAAAATATACTATGGAGCAGGCTTAGATTTTGAGCTGTGTAAATTGAGCTACTGCACAGGACTCTAAATTTTAGAAATCTAATATTTCATTTTTACTTATTTAGTTTAGAAATAAAAACTAAAAGTTTTCAATCTTATATTTACCGCTGCACTTTCTTACACTCATTAATTTCTTCTGCTTTCCTCTCGTACAATGTTGAAACAAAGGTAATAATACATTCCTTGGCTCTTATAACTATAACACTATACGGGTATTATGAAGCATTAGCAAATCAAATGTTGAAGCACTGGTTAGCTAAAAGTCAGATGTTGTTATGTCACAACATTTAAGGGCCGGTCGCAAATCAAATGCTTTTCTGATTCTTTGTTTCGTTTTGGATGTAGGTGCGGCATAAGCTTTTGTTACAAATGCGGAAAACAAGTTCATCAGCATTGGTGCGGGTGTGATACTACTTCGTGTTGCTGCATATGGGTCTGGAAAATTTTAACATTTTACCACCTTATTATTAGTATTTTTATCTGTGCGTTGCACGGAATAGATTTGTTATAATCTTTAAGAATATTTTGATCAATATACAAATATAAATTATAACAACGAATATTATATAGTGCAATTGATGAAATGAATTGTAGCGATTATGTTTTTTGATGTTATCTTTGCTTGAATTCGAGCAAATAATTATGTAATTATCCGTGCAGTGTGCGTGCAAGGCACGTGCGATGCACGGATATAACTTTTTATTATATACTAGTATTTGCACCGGTGCGATGCACGGAATGGATTTGTTGTAATATATTGAGAATATATTAAGGGATATATAATTATTTAAATTAGAACATCAAATATTATATAGTACAATTAAAGATATGATTTGGATCGTTTATATATTTTAATGTTATCATTGCTTAAATTTGTGCACATAATTGCTCAAATGAATAGCTAATATCTAGATGTACGCATGCGGTGCTATAACTTTGAAGATTTTATTTATCATTTTTTAGTATTTTCATAAATTAGACAAATGTGCTCGTTCTCTAACAACTCAGTTATAGAAATGAATTGCTATCATTATTCATTTGTATGGAATATATATATATATATATGTATATATATATATATATATATATATATATATATATATATATATATATATATATATATATTTGTCTAGATATATAACAATTTTTTTCATTTAAAAAAAAATAATATCACTGATTATATTTACACATTATTGAAACCTCTTTGTAGACGACATTGGTAGTGGCAACACAATCTTGTTCATCTTCGTCTAGAGCTAACACTTTCACTCCATCAAGACGGGTTACTTGGGTGAAAATATATAATGGTAAAATATCACTCAATTAGTTATCCTTTTATATTTTCAGACAATTAGTAATATTAGATTCATTTTCAGACAATTTTTTTTTTAAATTTTCAATCAATTAGTTAATTAGAATATCTAATGCAGTGATATTTTTACCTAATTTTCGTTCCATTTTTATTTGATGATGTAGATATTATTATTGAAATATTTCTATTCCATTTTTAATTTACCTTTACTATTGTTTAAAATATGCATTTACTATTGATAATGTATAATATTATTATTAAAATATTTTTCTCTAATTTTTAATTTTCATTACATTTTTAATTAAAATGCAATGATCTGACCATTTTTTTAGTCAATTATGTATCTTTTTTTTTATTTGCAATCAATTATCAATATTCATTTCCTTTTATATTTTCAGTCAATTAGTAATATTAGATTCATTTTCAGTCAATTATTATTTTTTTTATTTTCAGTCAATTAGTCAATTAAGATATAGATGCAGTGATATTTTTACCTAATTTCAGTTCCATTTTAATTTGAAGATTTAGAATATTATTAATGAAATATTTTCGTTCCATTTTTAATTTACCATTACTATTTTTTAAAAATATGTCTTTACTATTTGATTATGTAAAATATTATTATTGAAATATTTCCTTTCCATTTTTCATTTTTCTTTACTTATCTCAAAACAAAAACAAAAACAAAGAAACAAAAAAAAAATCAAAAAAAAAAAAAAGACTTTGGACTTCTCAATACTTGTCCACATTGATGAGCAAGCATTTATGTTTGAAAGATGAGATCAAGAGCTCCTTTTTTCAAACATTTTCAATGTGAGATCAAAATGATCCCACATCATTTACAAAGGCTCGTCTTTTTTTTTTTAATTTTAATTTTATTTTGTATATCGTTCTGTTTGGATTATTATTATTATTATTATTATTATTATTATTATTATTATTATTATTATTATTATTATTATTATTTGATTATTGAAAAATTCGTCATTTTAACAAATTATCTTTAATCAAAATACCAAAAATATTATTTAATAACTCAGTAATTTGCTCCAAACTGCTAAAAACTAAAACAATACATACATTTTGGGGGTGGATTTTTCTCTCTAGGGTTTGCTAGAGTTTTCTCCTCCCCTAGGGTTTGCTAGGTTTCCGACGGTTTCCTACGTTTTTTCCGGTGATCATCACTGTTTGGCGACGCTAATGAGTACGCTGAGTTGGAACTGCCGTGGCTTGGGTAATCCACGGACAGTTCGAGAGGTGGTGGACATGGTGTCCAAAAAGCAACCCGACTTTGTATTTCTAATAGAAACTAAGGTAGCGCGAGATCATGCTGAGCGTCTTCGTGTTACGATCGGTTTCGAAGGCTTATTTTATGTTGACAATGATGGTTTGAGTGGTGGATTAGCGTTATTGTGGAAGAAGAATAATACGGCGAGACTCCTTAGTTACTCAAGAAACTACGTTGATATTGAGGTAACTATGACAGGTAATCCGGCCTGGAGAATGACGTGTTACTATGGTTATTCGGACCGTAATAGGCGTGCTGAATCATGGGATTTGTTGAGAATGTTGGCGGCAAAATCGAATCTCCCGTGGGTGGTGGTGGGGGATTTTAATGATTTGCTATACCAGTATGAGAAGAGAGGGGGAAATCCACATCCGAATAGCCTTCTTCGAGGTTTTGGGGAGACGATTGAGGATTGTGGATTGGCCCAGTTGCCAATGATTGGATACCCATATACCTGGGAGAAGGGGAAAGGGACTGCAAACTGGATTGAGGAGAGACTTGATAAGGTCCTAGTAACGAACGAGTGGCGCAATATAATTCCCCATGTAAAGGTTATGAATTTGAGAACCAGGAAGTCAGATCATTCAGCCATTTTTTTCACAGTTCAGGAGGAGGTAGGGAGGGATGGGGTTAGAAGAAGGGGTTTTAGGTTTGAGATGGCATGGTTATATGATGAGGGATGTAGGGGTGTGGTGGAGCAGGCGTGGCAGGAAGGGAGAGGGCAGGGTTTACAGGGTTGTGTTCAATACTGTGGAAACCGGTTAACACGATGGGGTGGGGATCGGTTCCATAAGTATGGGAAACAGATTGTGCAGCTGAAACGGGATCAACAACGTTTGAGAGGATGCACTGACTCGGCCTCTCTTGTCGAGTTTCAGCGAATAGAGCAACTTCTGAGTCGCACTGAGGCCCAGGAGGATGCATACTGGAGGCAGAGAGCCAAGCAGCACTGGCTCAAGGAAGCTGACGCCAATACCAAATTCTTTCACAGGTATGCCTCTCACCGAAAGAAAAAGAATACTTTACTTAGATTAATGAATGACAATGGGGATTGGTTGGAGGGGGATCCCATGAGAGATATCATTCTGGACTATTTTAAGAATATTTTCAGCTCTGGGGGTCCGGGAACTGGAGATGATTTTTTTGGGGGGATAGAACCCAGGGTATCACAGGCGCAGAATGACTCACTATTACGGCCATTTAATCTGGAGGAAGTAAAGGATGCATTGTTTGCAATGTATCCGGATAAAGCACCAGGACCGGATGGAATGAATCCGGGTTTTTATCAGCATTTCTGGGATGTGGTAGGAGGGGATGTTGCGAGTTTTGTGCTAAACTGTCTTGAATCAGGTGACCTCCCGTCTGGCTTGAATGAGACAGATATTGTGTTGATCCCTAAAAAGAGTAATCCAGAGTTAGTAACTGATTTGCGCCCTATAGCACTTAGCAATGTCATTTACAGAATAATAGCTAAAATGATGGCTAATAGAATGAAGCCTTTGATGGAAGGAATAATATCTGAGACACAGAGTGCTTTTATCCCAGATAGATTGATAACAGATAATATTCTATTAGCTGCAGAAGTGGGGCACTTTCTGAATCGAAAACAGTGTGGATTGAGGGGCTGGGGTGCACTTAAGCTGGATATGGCTAAGGCGTATGATCGAATGGAGTGGCCTTTTCTCCGTAATATGATGATGGCATTGGGTTTCCATGATAGATGGGTTGATTTGATTATGAAATGTGTGACCACAGTCTCCTATAGTATTCTGATAAATGGCTCAAGGAGTGACCCAATAATACCCACGCGTGGTTTGAGACAGGGAGACCCGCTATCCCCATATTTGTTTATTATCTGTGCAGAGGGACTCTCGTTGTTACTACAACAGGCTAACAGAGCGGGATTAATTCATGGATGTAGGGTAGCAAGA